TCAGGCGAATCGCCCGGCCCGCTCTTTCGACCGTCCTCGGGGCGCGACAGGGCGAAGTTGTGTCATAAGGAGAAGGAATGGAGGAGGAGGAGGAGGAGGAGGAGGAGGAGGGAGAGTATCAACAGGAGGAGGAGAGGAGGAGGACGATGGGCCGTGTGGGATTTTTTGAGGGCCCTCTGGTCCTCTCTTGGGGCTCTCTTGTGGTCTCTGTGGGCCATTTTGGCGTCCCTTCGGAGGTCTTGGAGTCGTTTTAAGCAGTCTTGGTGCCCGTGTAGAAGAGGATTGGTTTCGTTTTGGAGCAAGTCTACCGGGAGATTCTGGGGCCATTTGGGGATGTGTTGGGTGCATCGTTGGTTGTTTGGCGGCAGTCCTGGACCCTCTCAGAGGCGTTTCAAAGCGATAGGGCGATGATTTATCAATATTGTGGAAAGCTCTGGGCTCCCTCTTGGGACACCTTTTGCACTCTGCTGGGGTCTCTTAGGGCGTCCTGCAGTCTTCTTGAAGCCTTCTTCACGTGTTGGGGCAAGCGAGCCTTTTGGGTCGGGGGTGGTCAGAACCCCCAGCCTGACACGTCGATTAGTGAATTGTCCGTTTTCAGTTCTGAGAGGGCGCCGCGGCCGTCATTTTCCAAGCTTGCGCCCGCCAGGTTTGGGCCCGAGATCTGTTTCACTAAACTACGTTTTACTAAAGGGGGTTCTGTCCATCACCACCTTTTGGGGCACTTCGGAGTCGTCCGAGTGTGGATTTGGAGACTCTGAGGGCACCCCGGGTGCGTCGGGGAGGAGGAGGAGGAGGAGGAGGAGGAGGAGGAGGAGGAGGAGGAGGAGGAGGAGGGGGAGAGGGAGGAGGAGGAGGAGGAGAGGGAGGAGGAGGAGGAGGAGGAGGAGGAGGAGGAGGAGGAGGAGGAGGAGGAGGAGGAGGGAGGAGGAGGAGAGGCGGATTTGGAAACTCTGAGGGCCCCGCAGGTGCGTTGGTGGACTCCGCCCCCCCCTCTCTCCCCGATTTCGCACGCAGAGTCCAGTGTTCTCCGGGGAGAGAAAAATCCGGAGGGAGGAGGACAGCCAGGAAGATCACACGTTTTGCCATGATTTTCCTCCCCAGACCCCTCGGGCACAAAGAAAACATGACGGGAGGTTTTGCTATTTTCGGCCTCTGGGGGGCCCTTCCCGGCCCTCGGTCAAAAAAACGATTCAGGTTGAAAAACAGGTCCAGGGGAGTGGGTCGAGACCTCCAGGGGTCGACGTAATGAGAAAATCATGATGTCGGATTTGTCATGAGTCGTGATTCCTCTCTTCTTCCACCCTCATTTTCCTGCCCGAGCTTGGGCAAGTCCTGCTTGCGGAGTTACTATTCATGGGAATGGTGTTGCCCCCCCCAGCTCCCTTGTGATATTTGACCCTCATGGTTCTCTTGTCTGGCTCTTCGGGGTGTGGCGGATCCTAATTTGCACGATGAGAGAGAAGGGAGGGGAGGAAAGGGATTGCGAATGCATTAAGGCCGGTGCCGCAGACCCTGAATGGCGACGACGACGACGACGACGACGAGCGTTCTCGGGGGCCTCTTGGGGGTAGTTTGGGGGCCTCTTGGGAGGCTCTGGAGGGAAGGGAAGGGGAGGAAAAGGATTTATTGGGCTTTGGGGTGTGGCGGATCCTGATGTGCACGATGGGAGATAGGGGAGGAGGAGTAGGAGGAGGAGGAGGAGGAGGAGGAGGAGGAGAAGAAGGAGGAGGAGGAGGAGGAGGGGGGGGTATACCCCCCCACGCTGATTAAGAAACCCAGAGAAGGGAGCCTGCATAGGATTCAGTCGAACCCACCGCGAGCTTCGGGCAGCACGTGCGCCGTCGGGGGAGGGCGGCCCGCACACACCCGCCTCCCCACCATGGGAGGGGGCGTTGGGGGGAAGGGGAAGTCTTCTTCTTCTTCTTCTTCTTCTTCTTATTATTATTATTATTATTATTATTCTTCTGATTCGTCTTATTATTATTATTTTTCTTCTTGTTATTATTCTTATTCTTATTCTTCTTCTTATTATTATTCTTCTTATTGTTATTCTTATTATTCTTCTTATTAGTATTATTATTCGTCTTATTATTCTTCCTATTATTCTTCTTATTCGTCTTCTTATTCTTCTTATTATTATTCTTCTTATTATTCTTCTTCTTATTATTATTATTCTCCTTATTCTTATTATTATTATTATTATATGTATTCCTTTTCTTTTCTTTTTCTTATTATTATTATTCTTCTTCTTCTTCTTCTCCTCCTCCTCCTCCTCCTCCTCCTCCTCCTCCTCCTCCTTCTCCTTCCCCTCCTCCTCCCCCTCCTCCTCCCCCTCCTCCTCCTCCCTCTCCTCCTCCTCGGGACTGGGTGGGTGGGCATTGATAGGCGCCGTACGCCTTTTCAACACCAAACCTTCCCAGCACCTGCGGCGCTTTGCATCAGGCTCCCCCGTGTTTCGGATGGGCCCGCTCTGCAGGCGTGTTTCTTGCATAGTCGGCCTCTACTGAGTCTGGCGCTCCCCCGGCCGAGACTGACGTGATTGGTGCGTCCGCGTTCCTCCTCCTCCCCCCGACTGACGCTTGCATGATCGAGCCCCCCCGATTGACCAGTCCTCCTTCCTCGTCGTTCAGGCCGTGTCTCGCGAATTTAGCGGCCAGGCGAGTTGTTGCGTACAGCCAACCCGCGTAGTAAGGATGGGCAACCTTCTCAAGGATACCCCTGCATCCTTGCCCCTTCGGCCCATCCTTC